TTACGTTTCTTGTTAAGTTTCTTACTTTACTTATTAAGTTTCATTAAGATTCTTATTAAGTTTCATTACGAATCTTATTAAGTCTCATTACGATTCTTATTAAGTTTCTTTACGTTTATTATTAAGTTTCTTACGTTAAGTTTCTTACTTTACTTATTAAGTTTCATTAAGATTCTTATTAAGTTTCATTACGATTCTTATTAAGTTTCATTACGTTTTTATTAAGTTTCTTACGTTTCTTTTAAGTTTCTTACGAAACTTAATAATAAACGTAATGAAACTTAATAAGAATCTTAAAGAAACTTAATAAGAATCTTAATAAAACTTAATAAGTAAAGGAAGAAACTTAACAAGAAACGTAAAAAACTTAATAAGAATCGCAATTGAACTTAATTAGTAAAGTAAGAAACGTATAAAACTTTATAAGAAACTTATTGAAACTTAATAAGAAACGTAAAAAACTTAATGAAACTTAATAAATAAGATAACTTTAGAAATCATAATAAAACATAAGAATAATATAAAAGCAGAATTTATATAAACCTGATTATTATATAATTAAATTAATTTCTAGTTAAATTTCATGTTTGTACACAGATGGAAATTATTTCTTTGACTCCTGAAAACCATACAAAAAAAAAGTTAATTAGCGTCGAGACAAGTGAAAAAAAAAACAATCAATCAACGGAATTAATTAACAATTTGAAAGTAATTTAATCCCAGCAAAGCGAAATCACATAAAACACGTATACAAACAAATAGGTTTTCGCCACCCCAAAAAAAAATCGCAATTAAATTCAAAGTAAAACGTGGATGGAATCATATAAAAAAAGTACATGAAATAAACTGAAATAAAATAATAAATTAAAGAAACGTAATGTAGTGAGAAGAGAAATAAAATAAATTCAGTAAAAAATTCAAATCAATTAAAATTAAGTAATTAATTAATTAAATAAAACAGAAATAAATAATTAACTCTAAAAAGAGAAGATTTGTTTTAGTTTTATATAAAAAAAGTAATAATTCAAACTTTCGTGATGGATAATACTTTATTGCGTTTACGTTCTCAGTTTACAAATTGCATCTTGTTAATTGAATTGACTTTTGGATTTATTCCGTTTCTACGAGTCTCCTCACCGAGTCCACGTTTTAATTACGTTCTGCGATGTTCCATAGTTTATTCAGGCGTTGCACACACTCACGTTTTATCTATGTTTACTGCCAATTTAATTACTTTCATGAAGACTATACACATAATTTAGAGATCCATTCAATTAACTGAAATAGTTTCTAAAAATTGTTAATAAAGACATTTTTTTCTTTAATAAGCTTCAATATTTAATTATATATAAGGACAAAGAATAAAAACTTTACATTTTATAGCAAATATAAACAAAAAATATTAAATAATTCTACTTAATTCATAATTATTACAAATACAATTATCATAATTGATTAGATAATTTTTGTGTAAGTGGAAATTCCAATTTGTTACTAAATTTGTATGCTTTACGACGTGTATTTTATGTTTTTTTTTATGTGAATGCAAACGATATTTTTATGGAAATAAGCTCATGCTATTTCCATTAGTTCAAGCCCTTTTATGCATATTCATTGTTTGTCTTTTTTTTGTCTCTTTTATGACATCCGTTTGGTAATTATCGATTGAACCAAATTGATATGCGTGCACATACGTTTCTAATAAAAGATAATTTAGGACAATTTTATTGTAATCAACACAATTGAACATGACTACAATAAGAAAATTAAATTATAATACAAATTACAGTTTTTTTATTGAAAATATTTGTGAAAAGTTTAGAAAACTTAAGAAAGTTTAAGAAAACATCAGAAATCATTAGAAAATCTGATTATTATATAATTAAAAACAATAATATTTTCACTGAAACCCAATCTTTTTTGTTATTTAGCTCACATAAAAAAAATATTAAAATTGAAAAAAATAAATTTTGCTTTATTAATTGTTAATATCTGAACAAATACTTATACATTGGAATCACTTTATGTACTTTCATTCAATAAATAAAAATAAAGTACGTTTAAGAAAAGGAACTCAACTTCACGTAACATCTAACAAAATAAAAAACTTTTTACATTTTCAATACGAATACCAAAAACTTTCTTTACTCCCTTTAACCGACGAATTCACTTCGATAAAATTACTTTTTTCTTCTTTTTTTTCAACAACAATCTAGTAAAACTTACATTGAAAACAAGCATATGAGAGTCAACTTCATAAAAGTTTATTTATAGATTCAAAAAATTTGGATTGAAAAAAAATCAGCTTTTGAAGATTTATTTTCTATTATTTACTACATTTGTTTTTTAATTATCTGAATATGTATATGAAATAATTAATGTATTTACAAACAAAGAAAAATCAGTAAAAATTTGATTATTATAAATTATTTTTACAAATTGTCATAAAAGAAACGTTACTATTTCATTTATTCCCCACATTTTTATTTATTAAGGTTTTATATATTCAATTCGATAATTGCTTAATATAAATACTTAATTTGTATTATGTAATGTTTCTATACCATTAGTTTTTATTTTATGGGTAAAAAATTGGAAACGAAAAACAAAAAGTTTAATTTCAATAATTTTATTTCTTCATACTTTTTTTTAACAAATAAATTAATTGTTCTTAAAGCTACAATAAATAAATAAATTAAGTAATAAATACACGAGGGTTCGGTTCTTGCAACGCTCTAGTCTAGTTAGAAGAATTTAGCCAATCGTAACAATAGCAAAAATAAAAAAGAAATGAAATATGAAAAAAATCTAACTAAAAGAAATAAATAAATACGTTAGGTTTTGAATGTAGAAAATAAGGATAATTAACTTGGTGCTATCATTACAAGAGGCTTTTGCAAATTGTTTAAATAAATATAATCCAGATATATTTTTGTACTTGTTGAATTTTGACTGGTTTTCTGTAAAATTTTTGCTTGTTTTTTTTAGTTTTGTATTTTGGAACCACTGCGTTACTTCCGGTGAGAGGAAGTGATGGAGATCGTTTCCATGACAACGTGCGTGATCATTGGATTTTCCGGGCCTGCACCAGTTTATTGATATCGTTGAATGTAGTCAGCATCGCAGGACTCTGCTGATGCGACGTTAACGAAGGACATCCACCATGTGCTAAACATTCCTCTCCATCCTGACCATCCTTCGCCGCTTTCATGTACTTGAAGAACCGCAGGATCTCGGGATTATCTGAAGCCGGTTTACGCAGCTCGTTCAATTCTCTGGAAAAGATAAAGCAAAAAAAGAGAGGGTCATAACAATCCTATATCCTTTAACTACAAATCGAATCCGAGTACTGGCATACTAGTGTGCATGCATCCCCTGGAGCGAGTCACGTTTTCATTAATTGTCCTTCCAACCCTCTAACATCGATTTCCTTTCTCTTCTCCTCTTATTTTCCGTCTGTCACTAATTGCTGGATAATTAAGTTTTCCGGGCATTATACTTATTTATAGCGAGATTATTACGTTTTCCCTTCGATTGATACTGCTAATAAATTAAATTTGTCTTTTATTCGTAAAAGGCTGGAATTTTCGGTAATGACATTTACGTCGTTTCTTAGGAGAAGGCGCCGTTACCTAACATTGTTTGTAGCTCTTGTCTTTCGAATTTAGTTTAGTTTTTGTGTTGGGGAATTAGAATTAGAAAGTTCACTATGCAAATGTTTGTTGCTTCGCGGAAATTTCAAGCAAAAATGTTAAACTAGTTTTCGGTTATGTCGAGAATATATTAAAATATGAACGTTACCATTCAAATTACCACGAATTTGTATAATTGAACATTTCGTTGAATAACAGATGCAAATTGCATTAGAACTTCTCTGTGCATAATTTTAGTTAAAGTCAATTTTCTAACTAAATCATCTTTCTAAGAACGATATGAAAAAAAAGTAATTTGATTACGAAATAATAATAAGTCTTAATTAAATTTATTTCAAAATTTTGCGAATTGGAACTTATTTCCTTGATAAAACTATTTTCAATGTATTACAATGAAAAATACACTAGAAAATTAGATCGGAACTTATTTTCTGAATATTGTTGAATATCTTTAGGATTTTTGAAGATTAAATTAGAATTAAGATATTTGAAACTTTGATAATGATAATTGAAGTTTGAATAAAGATATTTGAATTTTTGACGAAGATAATTGTTGTTTACATTATGAAAATTGAAAATGTGACGAATATATTTGAAGAATTTCTTATGGAACGGAAATTTTCATGATGTTCCTATGATGAAAATGTTTCATTATGAAGATTGAAGTTTTGTTGGAGATGTTTGAAGTATTAATTATGAAATTTGAAGTATTGATTAATATGTTTGAAGCTTTGACGAAGATGTTTGAATAAAAAATCAGTAAAATAACGAATTGGAACGTTATGTATGGATATTTTTAACGTTTTCATGTGATAAAATGATTAACTTAATTGTATTAATTTGGAAATTCCTTGCAATATAAGTAAAAATATAAATAAATATCATTTTATGTAATTATTTAACAAAATAATTTTCTTAGTCATGAAAAATATTGAAAAACTTAAATATGAAAAGTCTAAAAAAGCATTGAAAGCAAATCGGAACTTACTTTCTGGATTTAATCTATATTAATCTGAATTAAATCTATAAAATAACAACCATAATTGTTTTAATTAAAATAGGAGCAGTTTGGAACTTATTTTCTGGATAAAATTTAGCTTTAAAATAAACCTTTAAATATTCTTTTTAAATAATTAACTGAAAAATAAATAGTTTTTTGATCATAAGTGCAAATTTAACCAATAATTAATGATTTTCCATCTACATTAAGTCTATAAATCGATATTATCTTCCTATAATCATAATTATGGTCACCGTCCGACACACCTGGAGCTGCATTCAGAATTCAACGTAAATTATGCCTTCGGTCGTCGCAGTATAATTAAGTTAGGTCATCCATGGAGGATGCATCCATAAAATACAATTTATATATCCACCCTGCAGACTAAATCCTATTTTATTCTCTTTTTACATTCATATTCCACGCTATTATTCTGAAGGAAATCAATACAAATCGGAAAACACTTTACGTAATCTCACTTTTTTTCCCACAAGAAGTAAATGGAAGACGGTGCAATATTTACCGAGACGTTTTAAACGAATTAAGGGCGAATTCTTCTGCTGCCACGACAATACATCAGAACAGAGCGAACTCCGACAATCGAATTAAATTTCGGAGGCCGCAACAAAACTCGGAGCGACGTTACGCAAAACCGCAATAATCCACGTTCGGGGATCGATTAAAGCCAGGACCTCCGTTTCACAGTTTTAACCACAGTTTAGTTATTAGTTTTTTGTAAGGTTTGAAGCTTTCATTTCAAGTTGCAATAATGACGGATGAAGCTTGGTTTATACTGTATGAAGATTTGACGAAGTTCATTGAATCTAATCATAAAGATATTTGAAATTTTGATTCGGATTGTTATAGTTTTGATTCAAATTTCGATGAATATAGGTCAAGCTTTGTTTATGAAGATGGAAGTTTCGATGAACGTGTTTTCAACTTTCTTTATGCAGATTCAAGTTTGGATGAAGTTAGTTTAAGCTTAGCTTATGAAAATTGAATATTTGATGTAATGATTCTAAAGGTGAAAGATTTCATGATGTTGTTTGAAGTTTTGATGAGGATGTTTCAAGTTTTCATTATGAATATTGAAGTTTTGATGAAGATGTTTGAAGCTTTAATTATGAAAATTGATGTATTTGTGAAGATGTTTGAAGTATTGATTATGAAGATGGAAGTATTCATGATGTTGTTTGAAGTTTTGATGTGGATGTTTCATGTTTCCATTATGAATATTAAAATTTTAATTGAAGTTGTCTGAAACTTTAATTAAGATAAATGAAATATTGATGTAGATGTTTGAATGAAGATGAATTGAAGTATTGATTATGGAGATTGAAGTTTTTATGATATTGTTTCAAGTTTTGATGAGGATATTTCATGTTTCCTTCATGAAGTTTTGATGAAGATGTTTGAAGCTTTAATTATGAAAATTAAAGTATTGGTGAAGATGTTTGAGGTATTGATTATGAAGATGGAAGTATTCATGATGTTGTTTGAAGTTTTGATGTGGATGTTTCATGTTTCCATTATGAATATTGAAATTTTGATTGAAGTTGTCTGAAACTTTAATTAAGAAAAATGAAATATTGATGAAGATGTTTGAATGAAGATGAATTGAAGTATTGAT